TTTTCCCCCCCCCCCCCCCTACCCCCGCCAAGTCCAACTTTGTCGGTGGGAGCGGCGTTCTCGAGGTCCAAACCCCAAAAAAACCTGGGGTCCGTTACGGTGGCGTGACCTTGTTGTTGTTGCACTTCCGTCTCATTTCTTTAGGTTTTTAGAAGAAAACATACGTTACCTTGGATATTACTCTGGAAAACTCGCTTTTCCTGACATTTTCGCATTTTGGACGGATTTCGTGTTGTTGTTGTTGTTGCTGTTGATGTTGCTGTTGCTGCTGGTGGTGTTGTTGTTCTTCTTCTTATTGTTGTTGTCGTTGTCGTTGTCGTTGTAGTACAGTGCAATCACTGTACAAGAAACGATTGGATAAGAAACGTGGGGACTACGTCAGCCGGACAGCACCAAAAAACAGAAGTCTTAAACTGCCTTCTAGCTAAGAAATGAAGGGTACCCAACGTTTTGGAATCATTTCTTATTTCTGTGGTTTTCCAGGTCCTGAAACTACAACATGTAGCAGAGGTATATGTAGGGTGCAACGTTCCTTATTTTGGCTGGTTTCCGAGCCCTAGGCTTAGGGCACACGGCAGGAGCCAAAATAAGAAACGTAGGGGGCTACGCTTCTTATTTTGGCTACTTTCCAAGCCCTACAGAGCCGGACACTGTTCTGGCAGTTGCATCTAGACACCAAAGACTGAAGTCCAATGTAATACTGTCTTGGTGGTCTGTCTGGCCTAATGGTTAAGGCGTTTAGCTCAGTTTCGTGGGCTCGATCCCCGGCTAAGGAATGGTTAAGAAATGAAGGGTACCCAACGATTGGGGGGCTGAGAAATGCGGAAATGTGAACCTGAAAGGAAGCTAAGAAATGAAGGGTACCCAACGCTGGCAGCTGGCATTTCTTATCCAGCAGATGCACTGTAGTAGTAGTTGTTGTTGTTGCTGCTGTTGCTGCTGTTGCTGTTGTTGTTGGGTGTTGTATTATTGTTGTTGCTGTTGTTGTTATTGTTGTTGTTGGTGTTGGTGTTGGTGTTGGTGTTGGTGTTAGTGTTGTTGTTGTTGCTGTTGTTGTTGCTACTGATGTTCGTGTTAGTGTTGTTGTTATTGTTGTTCGTGTTCTTGCTCCTGCTCTTGATCTTGTTGTTGTGGTTATTGGTGGCTGTTGTTGTTGTTGGTGGTGGTGTTGTTGGTGGTGTTGGTGTTGGTGTTGGTGTTGGCGCTGGTGCTGGTGGTGGTCTTGATGTTCTTGTTGGTGTTGTTGCTCATGTAGTCCTCCTTGTTGTTGTTGTTGTTGTTGCTGTTGCTAATGTAGTCCTCCTTGTTGTTGTTGTTGCTGTTGCTGTTGCTGTTGTTGTTGTTGTTGTTGTTGTTGTTGTTGTTGTTGTTGTTGTTGTTGCTTTGTTGTTGTTGTTGGTGGTGGTGGTGGTGTTGCTGCTGTTGTTGTTGTCGTTGTCGTTGTCGTTGTTGTGGTTGTGGTTGTGGTTGTGGTTGTTGTTGTGGTGGCGGTGGTCCTTCCTTCCTTCCTTCCTTCTTCCTTGCTCCCTTGCTTCCTTCCTTTCTTGCTTCCTTCCTTCCTTCCTCCTTCCTTGTTGCCTTGCTTTCTTCCTTCCTTCCTTCGTTTCGTCCGCTTCAACAAAAGAAAGGAATAGAGGTTTTCCAAGGGGAACCGAAGGACATGGCACTGAATCCTTCCAAAATGTAAGGAACATGCTTGTTTTCTAGGAAAAACAAAGAAACGCACCAAAAAAAAAAAACACCCCCCCCCCTCCCGTTAAGAACAATACCTACAAAAACAAGCCCTCCTGGCCCCATAACCACGCACAGCCTTCCACAAAGAAGGGAAAAAAGCACCGTTGAAGCCCAAGATGCTGCGATACGCTGGAGGTCATTGGCGAACGAAGTGGAAACCGTGCGCTTGAGGTGGAGGTTGGGCCTAAACGATGTTCCCTTCGACACCTGCCGCAGCTCACGCGTCGTTGCCGCACCAAGATTAAATCACATAGCTCCTACACTAAGCTGCATCAGCATCCGCCTGGGCGGAGCGCAAGCGCAAATATCGTTTGACTTCAGCCTGACACGAACAGCTCCACAGCTTGTGGGCAGCGAGTGAACAAGTCTTAAATCCCAGAATGTGTTACTATCGCAGCATCCCGCAGTGGGGCTTACATTCTGTTTTCAGCCAACAAGACCCTTGCTCAGGGACGGTCCTCGACGGCTGGCGTCCCCAATGCAGTCAGCCTTGAACGCCGCAGGCGCATAAGATTGCTCGGCTTGCAATCCCATAATCGAAAGATATCGAAAGCCATCGAAGGACCGACATTCCAAGTCCAAGCCAACGACGCCATGATCGGAACATCTGGATAGTCTTCTCGGAAGTATTCAAGATCTCTGTACTCTGGCCTCTGCGCGGCCGGCGGCAGGGGAAGAGGAACGCTAAATGGCCCACAGGCCTGAAGTCGCCGCCCCACTCAAGAATGCAGTGCGCCTTTCCGAGCAGGGCATAGCTCACCCCAGGTACCCCAAGCAAGACTTTCCCGGGAAGGCGCGGCGCATAGCCCTGCAAGGCCTCATCAACTGCGAGCAAACCAATTTTCCTCTGCTTGTGCATGCTCCTCAGCCGGACTATGGCTCTGGTATTTCTGGCAGCGACTCTACGCAATTCTGCACTTGAAGCAAGCAGACTAGGTGACTAGGAGGTGCTGATGACGCACCCGACAAGCTGCACAGCAGCAGCTCCGGCCTCAAGTTAAACAGCATTCTCACCAGCTTCTCCGGGGTCAGGTAAACGAGGCTGTACTTTCCTCCCACAGGATTCTCAGCCTCTGTAGTCAAAACATGGGCCTTGAGCAGCTCCTTCCAGCGCGTCAGCCTCGATGCTCTCGCGTGTCTCCACATCTTCGTGGCCTTCGGAGCAAGGCAGAAAACTCGACTCACTTGAGCGGGGCAGTGCGCCTGACCCGAGAAAGCAGGCACGGTAGCTCTCGCCTGCGGCTAAGCTCAATCACGAACATGCGCACTGCTCAAACGTGAAAAGCTTCGCGTGCAGCAAACCTCCTGAGGGCCCTATAAAGATGCACGCTACTTGCCGCCATGCCTTTCTGCTCCGCGAGCTCGTTGAAACGCTGCACCTGGTCCTTCATCAAGGCGATCAGAGGGCTGACCTCGCAAAGCAGAACCGGAACAAACCAAAGCTCATTGTAGAGACCAAGTGACACACCACGAAGGCAGTCCGTTGAGTGATGATGGGCACCAGCTGAAAGCACAGCGACTTGCCAGTGCCCGTTGACCAGAAGACGCAGGTGTCCTGCGGATGCAACAAGATGACCCCCTTCTGCGAACCGTGTGGCCGTGTCACCTTCTGTTGGACGGCCGCCTCGACGACCTGACAAGAATGAATCTCGAATCTGTGGCCCTTCGATGTCCAAGCCTGCCTCACGTTGCTCCGGCCTGGCAGGTGGGCAGCGTTGCTGTGTCACGTGCCATCTCCTTGTATGACGGCCTAGTCTGCACATTGACAGCCTTAACGATGGAACATCGAAGAAATCCTGTGCGATGGCAGACATGTCCACCTGCGAACCCCGGCTTCTGTCCGTCTTCCATGCAAACCAAATACTGGATGCTGTGCACTCACCGCAAATGCAGCTGCCTGTGAAAACGCCGCTTGTGCATGGAGGACGCTGAAGCAATCGTTGCGAAGGCGGCCGCGAGCGCCGGGCAGCCGCAGGACCCGCAGCCCCCGCAGAACAGCCAGAGACAGGCCCACCGTGCCCACGCAAGTACATGCGGCTGCAGACGGTCCGGGTCCAGAGTCTTGCGCGGGCACCTTCTTACGGGGACCAGCAAGGCTTTCTCCGTGAGCGGCCACAGAGCAGCGTGGCCAAGCTGCCAGCATCCCGGCGTGCTGTCGTAAAAAACTAGTGGTTATGCTCGAAGCGTCAAAGGACTGCAGTAGACTGAACTTCGTAGAATAAATGCGGCTGGAACTGTGGCTGAAGATACAACAATTATTGACTTGAGCTTCTCTTCCTTGGGCCATTCAGGTTCTGCGTGCAACAACGCTCCACTCCCAGTCTGTCCATTCTAGCGAAATGCCCGGAATGTAGCCTGCAACCACGAAGAGAATCGCTACAGGCCTGAGGATACTTTCGAGCAGCTCCTTGTCCTGCGTATGACCCGCGCAAAGGACATCTCCCCCCGTTGCAACCAAAGACAGACTCATCTTGCATGAGTCCCCACAATCACTGGAACCCGGCGCGTGAAAGGCTGGGAGGCAAGGAGAGGTACAAGGATCGAACAGCAACTCCATGATTGCCTTTGCTACAGTCGACGTCCTTAGTGGCGCCGGTCACCATGTGCTTCTGGAGATCCAGCTCGTCTCGCGGAGAAAAGACCATCTCCTCATGCGCGTTTGTGATCGGATCTCGCGCATATGTTCCACAAATACCTTCTGGTGTCCTTCATGTGGTCTGGCATGCTGGACATCATTGCCTCGCATGATGACAAATGACAAACGAATCTCAGAATCTCATACTTCCAACAACAGCCTAAACAGTAGTTGCCGCTTCCTTGACCGATTCCAAAACCCCATGCAGCTGATGGCGCTGTCTTTGTGTACGGGCTTGCTATGGCTTGCTCCATGACAACGTGCACCATTGTGCTTGTTTAGCGCGTTTCGCTTGCATTCTGAAAACCTTGTGGAGAACAAGTTCATCTGTCGCACAGCCATCAAAGCTCTCATCGGACGCCTGGAACCGCGGACTGTCTGGATTGGGTGCCGTTTCGACCACCTCGGTAACAGCTCCACTTTGACTTTCGCTTTATGCTGCATTACACAAACAGTAGCTTGGATTTTACGTGGGCTTCTTCGACATGCAGGTGTTCTTGACGTGTCCGCCAATAGCTGCTTTTCTGGATGCATGCATGCGCTCACCCAAGCGATGAGATGCATGCAAAATTCGTGTCGCCGGTGCTTTCCTAGAAAGCAAGATGAGACTGACATACATCCATTGACCTCCATGAGCGCAGGTCTTTGCACCTGCAAACATGGCCCAGTTACTTTTGGGCAAAGCACGTGGACCTCTGGGCCACGACGTCCACAGGTCTCGACTATGGCACCGGGCAGCATGGAACAAAGTGAAACGACATGATGGCTCAGACAACCAGTGCTTGCTGGGACACCCATGGTGCTGGTGGTGGACCATGGTTCGGATTCCTTTCCCAGCTGCATGTCTTCGACTCCGGGGCCCCTACCAGGGATGGAACTGTGCAGTTGAGCCTTGGGGCACCGACTATGGCGAGGACGGCATCGTAAGCCCGGCAAGTAGCTTCCTGAACGGCCCCGTAGTTCTCGCGGAAATCGCCGCTGCAGTTCATACCCACCACGCTCGTGTAGGCGATGCAGACTCCGAAGTCGTATTTCTGATTGTAACCACACGGAGAGCAGCCACTTCCCCAGTCTTCACCGGGGTGGCCCATGACCCTCGCGTCCTTGGGGTCTGCACTTGGGTCCTGCATGGGCCAGACGTCCTGGCCAACCTGGTCCTCAGATGCTGCAATCGGTTTCTGAGAATCCGACACACCCCAAACGGTAAAAAAAGACCAAGGCCAGTGCTGAAAATGGCAACAGTCAAGCATGTCATGAGGAGACATCTTCTGCACGAAGGACAGGAACCATGATGATTATGATGATTGTGGTGATGATGACGCAAGCAATGGCGAGGGTCACCATCATCATCGTCGTAATCATCACCATCAGCAACTTCATCATCATCTTCATTATCGCCATCACCATCACCATCGTCCCAGTCATCATCATCCTCACAATAATAATCATCATTATCATCATCATCATCCTTGTCTGGTGAGCATGCGCCTCTGTTTGAGCCAGTGCAACTGTCAAGAGGTTCTTGTTTGGGGTGCTCTGGTTCTGAAGTGTAAATTAACGAATTTCATAGTTGCGCACAATCCGCTCAACCTTCGAGCCGTGTCGTGGGCCCGCCCCCACCCGACTCGCCCAACACTTTCCGATGTGTGGCGACAGACAGACTTGCTTTCGATGCGAAGCACCTGTTTACAGACCTGTAGTATTAAGAAGTCTGCTGTTCTGTTAAGGTTGGGAATCCTCCAAATCAACATATTCGGGAAGCCTGCGGGGAGCCTCGGGTGGAAAGTGTGATTGAGGTGTGAATGAATTCTTAAAGAAGTTCGAACAAAGTGCAAACGGAAAGGGTTGAGCGAATACAGACGTGTAAACAAAGTGTAAACAAGCTGCGAATAAAGTGTAAATCAAGTGTACACAAAGTGCACACTAGTCAAGAGTCACTTGTCACCAATCACCTGGTGCTTGGCCTTTCACTGCGAAGCCTACACCACGCTAGGACGAAGTTCTGGGATACTGGACTAGCACGGAATTGGGTGCACCGGGGCCGGGGTTGGAGCATGGCCTCCGATAGTGAGGGCGTGCTTGCACACATCATTGGAAGCTTGCACTTTTCTTACTTTTGTTACACTGTTTTCGCACTTTGTATGAAGAGGGCGCCGAAGCCACTTTACACTTCTTTACGCTGCTTTCACTTCGCTTAATTAAAGGACACACAAACCAATGAGACAAAGCACTCTTTTCATCTTGTCCTCACAGACCAGTTATAGTCTAGTTCTCAATGGCTGCTTCCTGATGGCTTGGAGATAGACTCACGAACCTTCTAGAGAAACACCTGAATCACCCAGCTATCTAAGCACTTGGCAGTTCATTCCTCACACGCCTTTCTTTCCTCCTATTTAATTACAAATGACACAGGAGATCCGTAAATTAAATTTGAGACAGAAACAGAAGGCGTGTTCGTGATTCACTTTGTTCATTAGGTTCGTTCATGTTTTATTAAAGAAAAGCCGTGCTTCGGTGCCCTCCACTACCACGCTTAATTCGACTTAGTAAATTCAATAAAGAATAGGGAAAAGAAGAACGAACCATGCATGAACTAAATCTAGAGGTGAAGAGATTGCTACTGTTGGTCTGGCTCCTGTCGTTCATTCGCTTCATGCGTTCATTCATTTCGCCCTTCCTTTTCATTTCATTGCGAATAAACGCAGTGAACGAACGAACGAAACCTCCAAGCCACAGGAACTAACCCACAAGATCAAGGTAGTAACTGCAAGATAGGTGTGATAACGGCTAGGAACGAACACGTGGTTCTTTTGTTCTATTCATTTAACTAAGCGAAAGGAAAAGAACGAACCATGAAGTTTGTTCCTGTACCTTCTAGTGTAGCAGCTTAGAGGTTAGACCCTGAGGAACGAAACGATAATTCCATTACAGACAATGGGTGAACGGTGAACGGCTGCAAAAATTAATGGAATGAACGCAATGGAGGAAACTGAAGCGTGGTTGATTTCTGTAGATCTTTTACGTTCACTTTGTGCACCGCTCATTCCACATGCCACGCTTACGCTTCACTTTTGCGTTTACTTTTAATGGTGTAGCGGAACGAATGAGGAACGATTGAGCCGTGCGTCGTTTCCCTCCGTTACGCTCACTTCGTTCCTGCTGTATTCTACTAAATCCTGTTACTGTTCCTTGTTTGTTGTTTCGCTCAGTTGTAACGGATTGAATAAAGAGAAAGTAGGCACGAGGTGAACGAAAGCAACAAAACAAGGGACCCAAAAGAGCACGTGTTTCGTTTATGCGCTTGTCTTGTTTTTCGCAAGTGTTCTAATAAAATAAAGTGAAACACGGGCCTTTTGGACTGGAATGTGCTGGTCATTGAAGGTTCTGGGATTCGCTTGGTGGTGGTGACTGAGAGATGAGATGAATGGTCAATGAAGTGAGTTCTCTTGGTTACATTTAAACATGAAAAACGAATGGAAAGTGATGGAATGCGTGTTTTCCGTCTCTAAATTTAAACAAGAAGACGAACGAAATGAAATGAACCGTTAACTAACTAGGAACTCAGCCCTGTAGTCAATGGTCTATTAGGTGTTTTGGTATTCTGGATTCCGTGTTGTGTTTGTTTGTGTTTAGTTTAATTACAAAGAAGCGCAGCGGATGCATGAACTAAATTACAACAAACAAAATGACCACTCTTTTTGTCTTTCATCATTCATGACTCACTCATGGTTTTCCTTAGATTAAACTAATATGATCACTAGTCTTTTTGGTAACAGTACGCGATCCATATAATTTAATCAGAGAAGCCGCTGTGAGTACAAAGAGAGACAAATGAACAGAACGTAGTGAATGTAATGGGTGCTGTCTTCCTTGCGTTCTTATTTTGACGAATTCTGCTAAAGTAAAACCCGCATCCACTTCGCTACTTTGTTTGTATTTGTTCAAGTTGGTACATTAGGAACGGAAGGCAAAAAAAGAACGCATGCTTCAGTTCCTTCAGCTCTTGTATCACTACCCTCGTTCCTCACGACCCATCAGTTACAGCCGCTGGTGAAAGGTCAATGTACTTTGTCTCCTTGAGTTGTTCTTTTTCAATTGATTAAAACAAGGACGCATGTTTAATTAAGCGAAAACACAGACATAAGATCACAAAGAACGAAAGACCCAAAGTTTTAATGTCAACAGCATGATTTCATTACATCATATTATCGTTTAACATTAGGAAAATATGTCTTTCAGTGAATCACCAGGCTGTCACCAAAGGCCTGAGTTTTACATCCAAGTTCTCGGGGCCTTGTGTCCCAACCTTAAAGACGCTTCCTTATTTCGTTCCTGTTGCGTTTCCCTGGCTTGTGTGCTTCTCGCTTTCGCTTCGCTTCATTAAAAGATACACACAAACCAATTCAACGAAAGGGAGGAATCTCGCTTCATTTCGCTTCACTGAATTCCACTACGCTTCACCCGTTTAACTTGGGCCTTTTGACTCTTGCCCTTTGACTCCTCACCCTGCAGCCTGGTAACTACTGAGATACTTGGTAGGTGGTAAGTCTTGGGGAACAGGTGTTATGGTGGAAAGGATGTGGTGCATGTTTTGTTTGATTTAATAGAACAAAGGTAAGGGAAAACGGAGACGGGACGCACGCTTCGTTTTGCTTTGAAGTAAATAAAACGCACCACACAAAAGCAACAAAGAACCCAAATAATTAAAACAATTAAATCACGCATTCCTCTCTGCTTCCTTAGTATTCAATTAGTTTAATTTGGTTCGTTGTGGGCTTTTGTTCCTTTCCACCGTTCCCTGTTGTTGCATTGTGAGAGTGTACTAGCGGGTGACCCGCGGGAGGAACGCACGCGGAAAAATATCTGACTTAATAAATGAAACACGCACGCACTTATTTCACTCTTTTGTCGTTTCGTTTCATTAAGTTAGGTCTGTTGTAGCCAGTTGATGTTGCAGGAGATCTGGAATGTAACGGTTCGTTAGGAGGCTACACCACGGTCACGTGGCATTGAGTGGTTAGTGAGGATGTAAAAGTGAGTTTGGTTTGTGTCATTAATTTAATTAGTTGAAATATACCAAGAAACGAAGAACGCGCGTGTTTATCTTAATCAAACGAATGCCACTACTCACGAACCGCAAGGAAATTCATGTTGTAGAATTAGCTCAGTCTTGTGGTGTAACAGCCCAGTGATACAGGTGGGGCAATGATAAAATCTGGGCCAACTTTATGTAATGAAACAAGCGTAACAAAGAGGAGCGTTTGTTCATTTCATTACAGCAAAATCAAAAGGAAAAGTGTGCGAGGAATTGGTGGAATGAACGGCCACGTGCTCAGGGTCTTATTGTTAGGCCGTTGGCTTCCTCGTAATCAAGCATGATTCAATTTCAGAGAGGAACTCGTAACACTGCTCATGCTGTCAAGGAATGTGCTACCTCAAGACTTTTCCTAACCTGACAGCCGCCGTGTGGGAAAAGAACTGATGTAATCAAGCAAAGGTAATGAGTGGAACGAAACACGCTTCACTTCATTACATTTAAATCCCAGGTGAACTGTTGTCTTCATGTGATTGGTTATGTGGCTTTATTATGGGAGTTTCTTGTGTTATCAGTTCCTGTATATTTTAAACCTAAAATATGCTTTCCTGTTAACATGAACACCTGTATGAACTAAGTTATAACTACCAAGATGTAAATCGCTGAATGAAGAGAAGAGACATGAAATAAAGCATGCAGCGAATGCGTGGTTCCATTCATTTCTTAACTTTAATTGTCACAAGCGAGTTCACTTTCCAAACCTCTTTTCCGCCCAGCCTTGTTCCTGATTCAATTAACCCAGCACTAGCCTTTTGTTCCACCACACGCTACATCCAGATCCTGTTATAGCATGAATAAAGCGTAATGTAGGTATAGCCTGAGCTGCTTCATCCTATCCTCACAGAACCACTTATAACGCCATTTTATACAATTAGTAACCCTCTGTTAGGGGGGGGGGTAGAGGGCAGGCCACCAAAACAACCCAAAACGTGATTTGTCATATCCTCTTATAGTGTGATAAGCATCTCCTAGTGATTGAATTTAGCAGAGGATAGAGCTCAGAGTTTCCAGTTTAGGGCTGTTGTAATAGAATTACGCTAGCTTCCTCACTTTCTTCACATCCTTTCCCTCCACGCAGTTCGGGTCTGAACGTGAGAATGAAAAGGATTGCGTGACGGTGGAAAACCCCCCAAGCTCGTTCGTACCTTGTGTATAGTTTCTGTGTTACGCTTTATCTTTAGAATAAAGCGTAAAGCGTAACGAATCCTTCAGCGGTTGGTCTCTTCACCGATGTGTTTTTAATGAAATAGAATGACATGTGACCCTCTATTACTTTTCTTTCTATGAATAACCACCGGAACCAGGCACTCGTTAATCTTTCTCTCGTTTTATTTGAATTCATACAACCCAACATGAGGATCCTGGCATCATCACGTAGTTTCCTGAGTGGTAATTCTAAATGTGCTATGCCCCAGTTCCCTCTATGCTTCTTCACATTTATGTAGTAGAGTAGTAGTAGTAGTAGTAGTAGTAGTAGCAGTAGTAGTAGTAGAAGTAGAAGTAGTAGTAGTAGTAGTAGTAGTAGTAGTAGTAGTAAGTAGTAGAGTAGTAGAGTAGTCGTAGTAAAAGTAGTAGTAGTAGTAGTAGTAGTAGTAGTAGTAGTAGCAGTCCTAAACCTGCTCCCGTAATTCAGCCGTTTCCAAAACACAGACAATCAGCAGGAACCCACCATGGATTCTCCTCCTGTCAAGTCC